GTATGTAAATTACATGATAGCATTTTCAAGCTATGTGATAATTTTGCTAAATGCTAGTTGGGAAGTGAAAAGCATGAAAGAAGCATGACCACAGCACTACTTAGATACGCATGCGCCTTGACCTTATGATATTACGCATGCGCACCGACAGCGTCTAAAAACGCGAGATCGCGAGATCGCAAGAACGCGAGAAAAATAAATGTCGCATTCTCGCGTTCTCGCGATTTCGTCATGGCCATATCTGGCAAGTCGAGATAGCGAGAATGCGAGATTTGACAGCATGTACAAATGTCGCAATCTCGCGATCTCGACTTTTGACAAAAAGTGCTATGTACCAAAAACACGAGAATGCGAGATCGCGAGAACGCGAGATTTTGGCCAAATCTCGCGTTCTCGCGATCTCGCATTCTCGTACTTTTGGCATTTTTAGCTTGTTTCCAAAGGTCGAGATCGCGAGAATGCGAGATCGCGAGAATGTCCCTTACAGTATTCCATACTGGTCGGCTCGGAGTCAGTATAATGTGTCTGAGTGGGGTATTCATGCTTCACTGCGGCATGGTATCTCAGTGGGCTAGCACTATAAAACCAGCTTAAGTCTGGTCTAGTACAAGCAGCCGCACACACACATACACACGCATGCACGTCGTCGTATGAGTGAAATATTCTCAAGCACGACGTTAAACCTCACCTCACCTACTGGATTCTTACGAAAGAGGCGACTAACGGGATCAGGTGGTCAGGTTCACTGACTTGGTTGACACATGTCATCGGCTCCGAATTGCGCAGATCGATGCTCATGCTCTTGATCACTGGATTGTCTGGTCCAGACTCGATTATTTACAGACCGCCGTCATATAGCTGGAATATTGCTGAGTGCTTTGTAAAACAAAACTCACTCACTCACTACTGGATTCTTAGGTGGTTGGATAGTCTTGTGGGTCTCGGGGCCGCTCATCACACTGAAGACCCGAGTTCGCTTCCCCACATGGGTTCTGCTGTGATTTTATTGGAATACAAAATCTTCACCCCTTACTGGATCACTACCACCTCCCTCTGCTGTTATCATGGTTCATTTTCTCACCCCCGTTCTTTCCTAACCGCCATCTCTTCTCTCTTCACACCACAATAGTTTCTGAAACATCTATCCTAATCTTAAACCCGAAGTCATGGGTTCAATTCGCAGTATGACCACCGCTTACAGGTGGTCACCTCTGAGCATTTTCAAAATGTTACTGGAGCCTGTGTCAAATCCATCTACACCTCCAGGTTTGAATATGTGTGAACAAATCTGGCTACGGACACGTCCTCTCACTCACTCCATATGCGCGAAGCTGTCACGTGCCACACGCAAAACAGGACTGTGAATTACACATGACATCGTGTGCTATATGACATCGTGTGCTGTATATGACACCATGCGCTGTATGGCAAGGTATGTTGTATGACATCATGTGCTGTATGACACCGTATGCTGTGTGACATCGTGTGCTGCATGACATTGTGTACAGTATGGCATCGTGTGCCGTGCGACATGGTTTGCTATATGACATCGTGTGCTGTATGACATGGTGTGCTCTGTGACATCGTGTGTTGTATGACATCGGGAGCTATATGACAACATGTGCTGTATGACATGGTGTGCTCTGTGACATCGTGTGTTGTATGACATCGGGAGCTATATGACATCGTGTGCTGTATGATTTGACACCATGCACTGTATGGCATGGTGTGATGCATGAAATCATGTGCCGTATAACATTATGTGAGGTATGACATTATGTGCTGTATGACATTATGTGTTGTATGACATCATGTTGTATGACATTAAGTGGCGTATGACAGCATGTGCCGCGTGACATCATGTGGCGTGTGACATCATGTGCCGTATGACATCATGTAATGTATGACATCATGTGATGTATGACATTGTGTGGTGTATTACATCATGTCGTATGCCATTAAGTGTTGTATGATATCATGTGCCATATGGCATCATGTGCTGTGTGACATGTGTCGTATGACATCATGTGCCGTATTACATTATGTGCTGTATGACATCATGTCGTATGACATTAAGTGTTGTATGATATCATGTGCCGTGTGACATTTTGTGCCGTATGACATCATGTGGTATATGACATCTATGTTGTATGACATCATGTGCAGCATGACACCATGTGCTGTATGACATCATATGCTGTATGACAGATTGTATGTATTACGTTGTGTGGTGCATGACAAGTCCTGTATGGCATCGTGTACTGCATTACGTGGTGTGCTGCATGGCATCGTGTGCTTTGTGATATGACACCATGTGTTGTATGACATCGTGTGCTATATGGCATCGTGTGCTGTATGACATCGTGTGCTATATGACATCGTGTGCTGTATGACCACGTGTGTTGTATGACATTTGTGTGTTTTATTACGACCACAGTGACAAGGTTGCTGTCTAACCACTGTGAGTGTCAGCAAAGAATAGGAGCATAAAGCTCGTGATTAAAAAGGCTGATGTCAGCCTGTAAATCAACCGTAATCCCCAAACTATCACACTGTTAGCAAACATGTATGGGAGCGTTGTCTGTTGGAATGCTCTCGCTTCGACATGGTATGTGTATTGTGGTTATAGCAACGGGGTTTTGTTAAATGCGCACGATTAAAGTTATACCGAGTGTACGAGTAAGTAGCCATGTGCTTTTAAAATGCTACAAAACTTTGTTCCAACATATGTTATATTTGGGATTACACTTTCTCAGAAAAGTAAAGGTCCTTGTATTCACTCATGGATAGCTCCTTAGATCGCTCACTTTGTGTGTCGGCGGTTAGGTGCCTGACTCTGAGGTTGATGGGAATAATAATATCCCAGATGGGGCTGAAACTAACAAAATTACCAAAATCTGTACTTAACGGATAATGTGTAATCCCAAATATAACATATGTTACATTTTAACATTTTATACATGTTGTTCCAAGGGCTGTGGGGTAGACTAGTGATTAAAGCGTTGGCTCGTCACGCCGAAGATCCGGGTTCGATTCCCCACATGGGTACAGTGTGTGAAGCCCATTTCTGGTGTCCCCGCCGTGATGTTGCTGGAATATTGCTAAATGCGACGTTAAACCACACTCATTCACTCACTCACTCACTCATGTTGGTCAAATTTAATGGATTGGACAATTGAACATGTTGGTCTTTAACGTGTTCGATGTCGTTGTCGCATGAAACCATGAGTTTTAAAAGACACACCTGCTAATTGACTAACTCTCGCTAGTGGGGTGATAAACACATTACCCGCTTTGATATGTATTCGGCTTCTCTGTTAGGTCACAGCATGACATTCCAGTGGATAATACCATACAATCGACAAAATGTCAACGTTACAATGTCAGCGACTACCTAGGAGTCCACATAAGGTGTGGATTTAGACAGCTGCGCAACCACCCAAAAATAACTCGTGGACTAAATTATAACCCCCGCATGAAATACCAGCGTAGCGCTGATCAGAATACTAGATTTGATCCGATAATACTGTTTGGCCGGAGCTATTTGTGTCAGTGATCAAACAAGTAAACTATGCCCTAAATTCAGTTCGATTCTCGAGGAAAAGTTCAGTTGGGAATGCATATGACATCCTAGGGGAAGAAAACGCTCCACAACAAATCGATTCCATTAGAGAAAAGAAGGTATTATTTTATGTCCCAGGTACATGGTATGCTCTTCTCTTATCAGAACAGACACTTCACTAATTTCAGAACAGAAGGTGTAACGTTTATTCATGGGGCGACAGATCTAAAACGACACTGGTGGAATTCTAGCTACCTGGGCTGAGCAGTACCTCAAGCTCCTAAAGGACATTTGCAAATACAAACATATTTTATTCGTTTCATCTCTTTCCCGTACAAATGGATTCAAGATGGCGGACATATTAGCACGTGGATTTGTGATATTGGTCATGTTATTGAAAATTGTCTCTTCTCGCAAGCAACATACTCTACACCTTACTGTGGCTGGTTCATATAACTGACCATACTCGTGAGACTAATTTTTCTGCCAAGTCACTTCATGCTGGTAAGAAAATATATAGGAGAGTGTCTTAGGTTGCAATGTGTATGTGTCGATATTACATGTTTTAGGATGTTAAAAATTGGAGCAGATGGTAGATGCATGAATGTAATTGTTGTTACATTTAAAATATCTGTGACACGACCAGATCAATCTGTGTGTCGTCAGACATACCTTCTGAAAGTTCATCCGCTATATACATGACAGTTTATTTTGGTTTTTTTTCTCTGGTACACAAGAATAATTCTGCTGTTTGTCACATATTTGAATCTAAAAGTAACTGTATCAATATGTTGCCACATTTAGAAGTAATCAAGCATTATCACTGCGGCTAGAACGAAATTCCTGCTTTGTAGACATATGAGAATCAAATCCCCATCTTTAGAGTGACCAGCGAACGCATTAACTTGGCCATCTCACAACCCTTTCTCATAAGGTTCGAGTTCGCCTCGCGATGGAATTATTAGAATTGTGCAAAATGTTGGTATGCGACCATTCCACCATTCCGAGGTAGACATTTCAATTTTGCATAATGCGGTTTGTTCCTGGTAATGCTCTGGGGTTCCAGGGAAGTTATCAAATACCGACGGCAAATAAGATCAGAAGCCATGCCGCAGTACTTGGGGTATCTCAAAGTAGAACATTTTTCCACAGTCTAAATACAAATGTACTGTTTCGGAGTCTACTGAACACGAAGTGTTGTGCATCAAGTTCACAATGATACGTGAAAGTGTTCTGCGGTGAAGCCTATTTGATTATGACAACGATTAAATAACGGGAACAAGATAAGACTTTCACGTTTTAACGTATTGCACATCTCAACGTGATACTTGATATGATGCGTTAATGTTTGCACATGTCAATAGTTCACATATTAAAATCGTGTCGCCATCATGGGCGGAGAAATATACTAATCTCACTATATATATTTTCTTTTCAGTTGACAACAATGCTAAATCAAAATCACGTACTCCTTTTACTGGGTCTGGCTGTGTCTTTTATCGGTGGTAAGTAGGTTTGATATTCATGCTACATTCTGAGAATACGCCATATTCAATATCCATAACTTCAGTTATCACAACCTCTTTCACTTTTGCTTTGTGAATTTGATCAGCTTTAACATTCGTTCAATAGGTGTATTAAGTTATGTATACTGATATATCACAATATTACTGTAATTTGAAACGGATACAATGCAAGTGATCGCAGGGCGTTAGATTGCACAACTAAGCAATTGTATTTGAGTATGATTTCATAAGCTTACAAAGCTGATATTGTTTCAATGTACTATAACATTAACTGTTAGTTATATATCTTTCAGGTACTTTGTATTTTTTTAAACAATCTTCCATCTGACCATTTGGTCTAAGGATAGGAATAGCAAGATGCCTTTTTTATCAATGCGGTTATCGTGTTGTTAGCGATTGCTTCTACCCCAATTCCTAAGTCATTCCCACAGAATTCGAGTCAATACCAATCAATACCCGGTTTGTTGTCATTTTGAATGATTCCGAATACAATTTTCCAATGGTCAATTTTCACCATAATGGAGCAATATTTAATCCTCCAGCCAACTTGTGAGCACCCATAGTATAGTAACAGTTTAGACGATTTCAAATACGTAAAGACCAGGGGCCCGTTTCACAAAGCCCTCTTACGGGTACGACCTCGTAAAGCAGGTCGTAGACCACCTCTTAATTTTTCACCCCGTTTCACAAAGACCTCGTATATATTTACACTGTGCCGTAAACAGCCCAAAATTTAAGACCCCGATTGGCCTGTCGTAAATGCTTTAGGAGGTCGTAAACACTACAAAGATTGCGTCAACGATTATGGTACTGCAAATGATTAAAACGTTTCTGACAAACGCGCACCCGGGCCAATCAATATACAGACCCGTGCCAGTTATATTCGGACACTTGACGTAATTTCCATAGACTTACATGTTAATTTAATGTAGCATAAATCATTTTCATGAATTTCATTTTTGTAAGATCCAAGTCAAATTTTGCACACTTGTGAGGAATCATCTTACCTACAATCACATAATTTCTTTTTAATTTTCCGTTGCTTATGTATCGAATGGCAACAGTTAAATCAATATATGTACAATGCCGTGAACTCCTTTAACATGACGGCCTATGGGAGTGTGCATTGTGGAACCATACGTAAGTTGTCCAAGATATTTTTATGGATTAAACTTCTTTTTAATTTCCCTCACGACGCTTCGAGACCATGTAAGTCTATGGACATTACGTCAAGTGTCCGAATATATCTGGCCCGGATCTGTTCCGCTGTTTATTAACCTGTTCATATGAAACTGCAATATTAGTCCCAATGTATTGCATATTGTACATCACAGGAACTAAAGTACATGTTGCAGTTAGGGCTACGTGGGATCTTCTAACACTTGTGTAAAGGTTTAAAATATGGTGTACTACACTAAATGTGTCAATTTCTTATGTAAATATTATTCAAACAATCAAAAACATTCAGAGAATAAAAAACGGATAACCTATATCCACGTATGATATGATATTGAACATGGCTAAATGTAGATACTGAAATTGGTTTCATGAAAAAATATCTGAACGATACGCAAAATATACATCATAACACTGAAAGTGTAATCGGAAGGATAGGGTGATTGTGTTTACTGTTGTTCGACCGACCTTCACCTAATAGAAATTGCCTAATACGTACAACAATGTTGACGTATGACATCACTACCGTTGACCGATTTCTTACAAAACGGCGGCTTCGCTAACAAGGTTAGACAGGATTTTGCGAGGACTCTTCCCTTGATTCAGGGATCGTTTGTACATAAATATGAGATGTAAGTATTCAGAATGATTCTGACTATCTGTGTATTGTTATATGTTTTGATCGATTTCATTGTAAGTAAGAACAGAAGCCAGAAATGCTTATAATTACCGTTGTCGTTCTGCGTGATTTTGCGTCAGTCATGGCGTCACGCTGCACGGAAACTTTGACAATATGTCTTATGAATTATCAAATCATTGCATTGTATCTACTTTTAAAAACATTTCAAAACATACAGCTTATAACGTTGTGAATCGCGATTTCGTATTGTCTAAAAAAAGGCGACATTTACGATAAGGCCTATATTTTGAAAGGTTATTATTTTAGGTACCTTAACTTTGTCTGACATAATAGTGGATGGTAATATCCGGTATTCTGTATTCACTAATTTTACAGGGGCAGTGAGGTAGCCTAGTGGTTACAGCGTGGGCTCGTCACGCCGAAGACCCGGGTTCGATTCCCCACATGGGCACAATGTGTGAAGCCCATTTCTGGTGTCCCCCGCCGTGATATTGCTGGAATATTGCTAAAAGCGGCGTAAAACTAAAACTCAGTCAGCCAGTCACTAATTTACAGATAGAAATAATAAACATGGCTTCAAATTCACAATTGTCGGTTGTTTTCTCAAAATCACCAGGTATTTTTAAAAACTACATATATTGAACTGCTACGTTATCCAATCTCTTTTGAAAATATTTGGTAAAATATTTCACAAATCTTTTTGTGACAAATTTATGTTCTGACTAACTAAATTACTTAAAGTGGTTTGGTATCACAATACATGTAATACACTTAGATAACGTTTTACAGCACTAAAATTCTTACATTTAGTAAATTAGAATTGACATAAATCGCAAGGGTGTTATAGCCAAATAGCTGATTGTGCTTATATGACATTTAAAAACTGGAGGCATTTAGCAGAACACCTTACTATAGTTTGGCATGAAATGCATGTGGACCCGGTTTTTTGTAAATATCTCTTCATCCAATGATCCAATCGATCTCAAACTGTGCAAGTGGATGTTTTGTCAGACAACCTAATCACATTGAAAATCACCGATTTTATGCATTTGTATTAAAGAATCCGTCTATGTAACTGTCAGCAAAATAAACAGCAGAACGCTGTTCCCGTGTTGTGTTTAAGGTGAACAATTGACTTGCCTTTGCATGGGTTTGTGACGGAACGTCCAGTATCATCACTATGATCCATAGACACCTGTTCATGATATAGCGGAAGACGTTTATGTATTCTGCTTGTAGTAATGCTGTATTCTATAGCCACTTGCTAATTTGTTTAGATTTGTTGATTTTTCGAGTACATTTAATAGTTCATCAAATTTAATGTTTTTCTTGAATATTTTTTATGGTTAGTATTTTAATGAGTTTCCTGGCTGTATGTTTTCTAAATAAGTAGTATATTAGTTTTCTCTTCATTGAAATATGTCTCAAAACCCTTCAGAGTTATATATAGCAAATAATATATAGCAAACATATATCTTGTATTTGACTACTTTACCCAAGTGTTCCTCGCCAATTATTAGAAATGATGTATAAATGTTAATCAGTTTTTGCTAGGTCCAATGTTGCATCTTTCATTTTTGCATGTTCTTTGGTAGCTAGTTTTTATGTTTTCGATATAAATTACGCAATGCTACAAGGAAGAGTTCAGTTTCCAGTCACCTATTTTGCTTTTTTCGTGATGTGGCAACAAAGTCTGTTTCGTGACTTAATGTGATCTGCAAAAACAGCTTTTCGGAAATACATTGTATACATCAAGAAATCAAGTGTGATGAGGCCATTTTAGAGAAATTATTTATCAATCAAATGACATGGGCGACACCGCCGGAAGGTGCTCACAGTGCCACTCAGATAATAATTTTTAGGAAATAATACAGACAAATTGACAGATCTGAAACTTTCAAAATATATATGAAAGAACTCCTTCTACCTGACGTAATTCGCATAGATATCCGCTTTGGATACCAAGTTTATCAGATTGTTTTATTGCACCGGTAACACCCTCCATTACATGATAGAAATATGTATTACATTTCATTTACATCAAACCCATTCAACAACGTTATTTCCAGGCGCTGCTTCAACTGACCTATCGTGTCCAGATGGTGTTGGTCAGATTGGATCAGAATATACAATAGTCGGTGACAGAAGCAACTACACAGGCTTCGTATGGGTTCGACCTGATGATCGGTACGTCGTCACCTGCAACCCCAGCTGCAGCCCTGTGGCAGGATACAATGCAACCATGAACAACACACACTCCACACTCTCTATAGAGAATGTGATGATCAAGGATTCTGGGATGTGGAAAATAAGGGACGCAACTGTCACCGATGCCGTCGCTGACGACGTGTGTCAGCTGATGGTAGCTAGTGAGTATTAACACGATACATACATATACGTAGAAATCACGCACCTCCCACTTTTTATGTGATCAGTACAAACACCCTACTTGTTGTTGTATATTTTTTAGAAACCAAATTCCGCACATTAAAAAGGTAACTGCTATATCTTTTACACAAATTAAAACAACAAAACTGAAATTGAAATGTTTTAACAGTTTGCATGCAATCTGGGTGGAATACACACAATCATGAATATCAACATTGCCACGAAGGAGGGTTACCTTGACTACGCCACCAATCTAATTGCCACGCACTTCTGCAATAGTGATTGTTTTGATTGTATGGACAAATCACTGGAGACCATATCAGTAACCATCCTTCACACGGACAACCTTTGTCTCCTCACAATGCTAATCAAACATCAGAATTCTCTGTTATTACTCGATGGGTGATTTCTTCCGATAATGAATTATTTCACAGGATGATATCTTGCCCACATTTGGCGACTGAGATATGTTCGCTGGGGATCTGTACCACGTCATAGTGAAGGCTGACTGAGATATGTTCGCTGGGGATCTGTACCACGTCATAGTGAATGCTGACTGAGATGTGTTCGCTGGGGTTCTGTACCACGTCATAGTGAAGGCTGACTGAGATGTGTTCGCTGGGGTTCTGTACCACGTCATAGTGAAGGCTGACTGAGATGTGTTCGCTGGAGTTCTGTACCACGTCATAGTGAAGGCCGACTGAATGAGTGATTTTAGTTTTACGCCGCTCTTAGCAATATTCCAGCAATATCCGATTAGGGACACAAGAAATGGGCTTCACACATTGTATCCATGTGGGGATATATATTGCTACAACAAGTAGACCTAATTATGTAAATATGTTGCGGGTTACCAGCTCGTCAGATGTATGTGGATGTTCGTAAGCTGCGAATTAAGCACGTATGTTGCAAAATATTTTTCCGGGATTAAATGGATTATGTCGTTGGTTGAATTATAAGAACTATCGATTATTTGTCATCTACGGAAACTCCCGAATGTTCCGTTAGCAGTGATGGGGACACTGATGCACTTGAACTGGACACGACCCTGCTCCTCACAGTGCATGTGACCGAGTACCATTGTTCCGAACTAGCTGGCTTGAGCCTTATGACTGGTGAACCCTAAGATGAACCATAACGTCAGTGATGTCACTTCCGAAGTTATTAACAAAACTGTCAGCATTAACCTTTTAAGTGTTGGTGACGTCAGTGGGGTTCACATGTGACGACACTAGTTATAATCTGAGCTGTCGTGGAGTTCAAAGGTGGTTAAAAAGTGAGTTTCCATTTCTAGTTGGTCATCAATCATTATGCGTATGTAAAAAAACCTATTACTTCAGTCACTTATTTTCTCTATTCATGTTCTTGGTAATGTACAGTCATGCTTTCACATGAATTACATTTTCCATTTCAGATGCTATGTTTATTTCTCATTCATTCATTCATTCATTCATTCATTCATTCATTCAAAACTTTCCTTGTCATTCCATTTGATTTCATTCATCTATTGCAACCAGGTCCACCACAGTGCAACATCAGCAGTGACACAGACACCAACGCTCTAGAACTTGGTACAAATCTCACCCTGACACTGGAACTCAGAGGGTACTACTGTTCTCAACAAGCTGGGTTTGATCTCACAACTGGCAGCGTCACAGACGTCATGTTACAGAACCAGACAACGAACAACATCACAGACACTGTCCAGCACCACTCCTTCAACGTCACATCTGACCACTTTGGAGACGTCAGTGTCATATTCAGATGTGATAGCAGCAACAAACCTCTTACTTGCGGCGGAGTTTCCAAACTAACAGGTCGGTCCTCTATTGTAATGCTATCAATGTAAGAATGAATGAATACTCTATATATCCCCCAATGATTTGGAGAGTACATTAGATTATATTACTTGTCAGTCGCAATGACAATAGAGACAATACATATGACAATTCAATTCAACAGGGTTTTCACAACAAAAGAGAAATATAAAGAGCTGTATTTACATGGTGTGTGACATAATCTCACATATATAATATACACCTTAAGTTCCATGAGCTGACATTTTAGCCACGATGCTCATGAATGTTGCCCAGCTGTCAAGTGTCATATCATGGACAACATTTGTAATGGCACCGAAATATGTTAGGACCTTAGCTTCATCACTTGCAGTGTCCTCGAGATAGGTGTCAAGGTTGAGGTTATCAAACAACGTCTCGCTTAGCACATTTTTTTTGTTCAATGAGGCTTTCACAGTAAAGCAATTGATGCTAAACATTGTCTTCACTTTCACAGTCACAGAGCGGACATTGTCCCGGTGTTACAGGTAATACGCGAAGCTTAACCAGGGCATAAAGAGAAGGAGATGCAATACCATACCATACACACAGATTCCAGAGACGATGTGGAGCAAGCTGGGTGTGAATATCACTAAGCCTATGCATATCAGGACGTTGTTGCAAAGTGTTTCTTCATTTAATATTTTCAAATCTACACAAGGTTCGTTGGACTGTGCTTTCCCATATACTTTTACATGGGAATTCTCCGGTTTTGATAAATTTGTCTAGTACGCCTGATAATCCATACTTCTTGGCTTCGTTTAATAGATCATGTGTTATGGATCTGGTACTATGTGTGGTAGTGGTGGCATACTGTCTCAGATAGAAGATCGGCTTCACAATGGTTGTGCCGGCTGCTCTACAGAGTCGTCCTAGGAAGAGAAGCTTCATCTTGTCTATTCTGCCCAGCATTGTCCATAATCCAAGGATCTGGATTGTAGCACCTGTAGACGACCTCTTGTGGAGATTCTGGACTCGCCGCGCAAAGTACCGTTGCAAAGTTACCATTTCATTGATTTCACAATTGCTGATATTTGGCCAGAGTTCACATGCATAGAAAGCAGATGGGAAGATAACTCTTTGCCAGATATTCGAAGAAGATATTGTGCTAAATCCTCCAGCTCTGAGGCCAACTTCTCTTAGGGAGTTGATTGTCTGCCTTGCTTTAGTACAAGCTCGAGTAGTTCGTCCACTTGCTTTCTCTGTGTGTATCAAAGAGCCAGCATAAATCGTGCTAGTATGGATCGGCAATGTCACGGCTCCAATTTTGAAGACAGATCTATTACATTGTCTTCTGTCATTGATGAAAGACAAGACACAGCTCTTACTGGCGTTATATGTCAGTCTCCAGCGGAGGGCATACTGATGGATAGCAGCAAGGGAAATGTTCAGTCCATGTGCAGTAGTACTGGCAACAGTAGTATCATCAGCTAGTAATACTGAGGGGATGTGCTCCTTACCAACGATTAGCCCGTATTGTAAATCATCAAGTTGGGATATCAGGTCATTGATATAGACTAGGAACATCCATGCTGAGAGCACACGACCTTGTCCTACTCCTTGTTGGACATTGAACAAATCACTCATTTTACCATTGTATTTAACACACGCACTTGCTTCTTGATACGATTGACGGATGATATGCCATGCACGGCCCTTTACACCAAGATTGAATAGTTTCAGCAACAGCCCCTCATGCCATATCCTATCGAAGGCCTTTTCCTTGTCGAGAAAGGAGACATTTGAGTGTCTTTCTCGATAATATGAAATAGCCTCCTTTAATACACATGTGGCTACACTGGCTCCATGCTATTTCCGGAATCCACACTGGAGGCGATGTGGGAAAACAGGATTTACACTTTTGATGTAGGATTCCAGTCTGTCAAGCAACAGTCTCTCAAACACCTTCCCAATCACTGATGTGAGAGTGATACCGCGATAATTAGACCACATGGTACAGATTTCCTCAGGTGTGCTAGCTGTCTTGTCGTTATAATGTAGGGATGTGCGTGTTACGTTAGTCTTCCTCTGCTTCCTGACAGTTCTATAAAATTCACCAATGTCTACTTCACAGGCAGAGTTCAGCTCTGTATACTTGTGTCTGTCCCAATCCCTTTCTACTTTTCGTTTTCGTCGGCGGAAGTCGCATTTCGCTGCTTTATATTGCTTGTAAGAGTCATGCGAATCTCCACTAGGTTTACCTTCAGATGCCCATTGTCGTCTGGCCTGACGCATCTGGTTGTGGTAGTAATCAAGACCGGAGTCTCTCCAATAGGGTTTGAGATATGGCCTGTAGTATCCTGTTGGGATGTACATTGCTGTTGATGTATGGAGAGAGCATACTATAGCATCAAAATAATATTCTACCATCTCACTATTAGCATGTGTCAAGTCTGGCAGGGTGTCACCAAGTATTTGTCAACTTCAGATGAGTACATCCTTAGTTCGATGTCATTAGCTTTCTGCCACTTGTAGGTTGGAGGAGTCCATAGCTTTTGGCCTGTTAAGAACGCATCACTGAGGAATGATACAACCACTGGTGAATGATTCGATATATCATAACTGGTCTTGTTATCAACAAGCGTTGTCAACACAGACGATTGAAGAGCACTGGGTAAGAATATATAATCAATCAGAGAGGATTGTGTCCCAGCCTTATTGCGCCATGTCTTGAGATCCCCTTGAATAACACCACCTGCGTATGACGGTATCATGTTCCTTGCATCCAAGTATGACCGCAGTATTGAGGAGCGAGGGGATGCGTGGTTGTTTACAATGTCTGTATTAAAATCTCCACATAGTACAACATAACCGCTTTCTCCTAGTTCATCGACCACATCAAACACGTCCTGGACGCTTTCCTCATACGCCGTTGTATTGTGGTTAGTGGAGGGGAGCAAAGCACACACTATACAAAGATCAGCACACTGGGGACGGGAGAGTCTCACAGCTACAACGTTATCAATTCACAATCACATATTACTACGTACCTGTATATGTTTTTCTTAACTAAAATTGCTACACCGCCTTGTCCTCTACACCCTCTCTGATTAGCTTTTACCTTAACTGCAATGTCGAACTTCTCACTGAGACAGTCGAACCAGCTTTGCGTTCCATCACTCAGCCAATGTTCACACACTGTAAGGACGTCACAGTCGCTCGCTAGTTTCTCTAGGTAGTGGTGGCAATTCAATACACCTTTCACATCCCATGGTCCTATACTCAGCATGTTGATAAGTATGAGATAAACAAAAATTGCCATTCTGAATTAATATGATGCCCTGTTATCACCTCTACGGGTTTAAGAAACCCACTCTCTACATTTCACATCTGGAGGCCAGAAATTGTCATCTTGCAAAACCTTGTCAGCTACCCTGTTATCTATGTTCACACGTACAGTGTATGTAGGGATCGAACCCTCCCAGTGTCTCAGTAGTCTAATCAGAGAGATATGCACATCTCGTTTTTTAGCGTAGTCAGTAATTGCATCACGGATAATATCAAACGACTTATCAGCTTTAACGTTAGATAAGACAAGTCGTTTTCTCTTGTATCGAGGTGAAGCACCTTTAAATGACCTTTCCCATTCGTTGTCAAACCTCACAGTGGTATTGGATGTCTTCTGTCGTTCTGTTTGGCGACGTGGAGTGTCAAGGTTCACATTGTTTCTCTGGGTAGATGAATCCTCCTCGTCGTTTTCACTTTTTATTTTGTTGTTGGTTTTGTTTCTCTGTGCCAGGTGACTCCGCCACGATATCTCTATAGCTCCTGCCCTCCACCTCACGTGGTCTTGGGGTCTGTGTGGGCAGGTGCCTGGATTGACGAGGTGCACTACACAGTACTTCAGCGCTTCTGGCTGTATCGTGGATTGCTGGCGACTCTGACTACAGCTCTCTAGTCCTCTTGTTAACATAGTCCAGTTTGGTGTCCACGTCATTCACCTTTCTTGAAATAATGTCAATATTGGCTTTAACTTCGTCTCTCAGTAGATCAATTTGCGCACCCTTGTCTCTCATTTGGAACACAAGGATCTTAATATCGCTGCGCAGCTTTAACTCAATATTCTGCAATCGTTCTATTTCTCTCCAGTTCATTCACTTTAGTTTCAATCTGCGTGATATTTTCTTAATATCAGAGTCAAACTTCTCATGTAAAGTTTCTATTTTCCTGTTGACCGTAGCCGATTGTTCAGTCATACAATTCTTGCAGTTCCATAACCTTGGCCAGTACTATAGTCATGGTATCTCTGCAGCTGTGTGGCATGTTATCACTGTTGTTAGTATCTACTTCACACTGTGTTGTATCGCTGCTAATCACTCCCTGTTTGCTTAACACTTCTCTCTGAATAATGTCTGGAGAAACAGACCCGGTTATGTAGCCATACAAAAGGTATACATCACCAGCATACTTCTCAATAACACTTTTCCTTGAGTGCTCTCTCTGTACTCTCTTAATCAGATATCCTATTAGTACATCTTCGCATCTCTCTTTAGCTATATCATATAGACTGTATCGAACCTCGTTTATCTTTCCTTCATCACCTGAGTATATTTCCAAAAGTTCGTTTTCAAATGACACACGGTCAAGCTGACCCAGTTTGTTGTGAACCTCGTTGAAGATATCATTGCCTATGTCCTCCACCTGTTGCGTAAGATACCTGTCTTCAGAGTCGCTGGTTGTCCCGGTCATTGTCTATCAATTACCGAGCACGCACATTAGCCGATGATGTAATAACCAAGCTTCATGGACATAGTTCTTCTTCATATGTTTAGCGAAGTTTCATTTAAAAATCTCATCAGAGTGGAGTCAGATATTGTAACCAAATTTACCAGTATCGATGTCAGGGGCATCAGCTTGACATACGGATCACTTTTGTTTGAAGCAAACATGTATAAACTTCTCTAGATACGTATAAACTGGAGAGCAAGTTTTCCGTAACTTCCCCTTGACGGCCATCTTGTTATGTATGCAACCCCAGCTGCAGCCCTGTGGCTGGATACAGTGCAACCATGAATACCACACACTCCACACTCTCTATAGAGAATGTGATGATCAAGGATTCTGGGACGTGGAAAATAAGGGACGCAAATGATGCTGATGCCGTCGCTCATAACGTGTGTAAGCTGTTGGTAGCTAGTGAGTATTAACACGATGCATACATATACGTAGAAATCACGCACCTCCCACTTTTTATGTGTTCAGTACAAACACCCTACTTGTTGTTGTATATTTTTTAGAACCAAATTCCGCACATTAAAAAAGTAACTGTTATATCTTTTACACAAATTAAAACAACAAAACTGAAATTGAAATGTTTTAACAATTTGCATGCAATCTGGGTGGAATACACACAAACATGAATATCAACATTGCCACGAAGGAGGGTTACCTTGACTACGCCACCAATCTAATTGCCACGCACTTCTGCAATAGTGATTGTTTTGATTGTATGGACAACCACTGGAGACCACATCAGTTACCATCCTTCACACGGACAACCTTTGCCAGTCTCCTCTGCTATTACTCGATGGGTGATTTCTTCAGTTCATGAATTATTTCACAGGATGATATCTTGCCCACATTTGGCGACTGAGATATGTTCGATGGGGTTCTGTACCACGTCATAGTGAAGGCTGACTGAGATGTGTTCGCTGGGGTTCTGTACCACGTCATAGTGAAGGCTGACTGAGATGTGTTCGCTGGGGTTCTGTACCACGTCATAGTGAAGGCTGACTGAGATGTGTTCGCTGGGGTTCTGTACCACGTCATAGTGAAGGCTGACTGAATGAGTGATTTTAGTTTTACGCCGCTCTTAGCAATATTCCAGCAATATCCGATTAGGGACACAAGAAATGGGCTTCACACATTGTATCCATTTGGGGATATATATTGCTACAACAAGTAGACCTAATTATGTAAATATGTTGCGGGTTACCAGCTCGTCAGATGTATGTGGATGTTCGTAAGCTGCGAATTAAGCGCGTATGTTGCAAAATATTTTTCCGGGATTACTTGAATTATGTCGTTGGTTGAGTTATAAGAACTATCGATTATTTGTCATCTACGGAAACTCCCGAATGTTCCGTTAGCAGTGATGGGGACACTGGTGCACTTGAACTGGACACGACCCTGCTCCTCACAGTGCATGTGACCGAGTACCATTGTTCCGAACTAGCTGGCTTGAGCCTTATTACTGGTGGACCCTAAGATGAACCATAACGTCAGTGATGTCACTTCCGAAGTTATTAACAAAACTGTCAGCATTAACCTTTTAAGTGTTGGTGACGTCAGTGGGGTTCACATGTGACGACACTAGTTATAATCTGAGCTGTCGTGGAGTTCAAAGGTGGTTATAAAGTGAGTTTCCATTTCTGGTTGGTCATCAATCGTTATGCGTATGTAAAAAAACATATTACTTCAGTCACTTATTTTCTCTATTCATGTTCTTGGTAATGTACAGTCATGCTTTCACATGAATTACATTTTCCATTTCAGCTGCTATGTTTATTTCTAATTAATTAATTAATTAATTAATTAATTAATTAATTAATTAATTCATTCATTCATTCATTCATTCATTTTTCATTCATTCAAAACTTTCCTTGTCATTCCATTTGATTTCATTCATCTACTGCAACCAGGTCCACCACAGTGCAACATCAGCAGTGACACAGACACCAACGCTCTAGAACTTGGTACAAATCTCACCCTGACACTGGAACTCAAAGGGTACTACTGTTCTCAACAAGCTGGGTTTGATCTCACAACTGGCAGCGTCACAGACGTCTTGTTACAGAACCAGACATCGAACAACATCACAGACACTGTCCAGCACCACTCCTTCAACGTCACATCTGACCACTTTGGAGACGTCAGTGTCATATTCAGATGTGACAACAGCAACAGAACACTCTCTTGCGGCGGAGTTTCCAAACTCACAGGTTGGTGCTCTATCGTAATGCTACCAATGTAAGATGTTTATACAGGGAGAATCATTTGAAGAACCATCGAGCATAATTCTAAAACGATTTCAAAATTTAAATCCACTCTTTGTGCAAAAAAGGTTGATTGATGTAACAACATTCAACATTATTACACTTCAGAATGTGTAACGAATTTCGCAATTGGATGCCTCAGTTACAAATAGAGTCTGATATTATTATGTTCTTTGACAACATTCAAATCAGTTGACAAGAGCAATGGCTGCACAATACATGCTGATATTTCAATAAAGGCTCTGAGTGCCACCAGAAAGACGATATAAGGCGTGATGATGAATTTGGCCTCCATTCGTGTGATATTATATTACTTTAACGTTCCAGGAACATTGCTGTGATGGTGTATTATCTCAATCCCTTTTGAAATCGACCTAAAATGCTTTTCACTCACCTGTCTACTCTCCCGTGATTACAACCGATTTTCACAAATATTCTCTCAACCTAAAAAGGATACAATGTTTATTTGTAGCTGCTACAACAACTACAACACCCGGGTCGACAGGTAGGTACTTACTGTCCTCCAACACAACTTTGGCTGATACCTTAACATCCTGATCTATCTGTTCTAGGTAACCTGAATATTTACTTTGTACAGAGATATATCAATAAGCATGTTTTCAGACGTTAAATCTTCCATGTCGACAGCTAATGCCTTCACACGCATCTCAATCGCTTTTGAAATCGACCTAAAATGCTTTTCACTCACCTGTCTACTCTCCCGTGATTACAACCGATTTTCACAAATATTCTCTCAACCTAAAAAGGATATAATGTCTATTTGTAGCTGCTACAACAACTACAACACCCGGGTCGACAGGTAGGTACTTACTGTCCTCCAACACAACTTTGGCTGATACCTTAACATCCTGATCTATCTGTTCTAGGTAACCTGAATATTTACTTTGTACAGAGATATAACAATAAGCATGTTTTCAGAAGTTAAATCTTCCATGTCGACAGCCAATGCCATCACACGTTCCTGGGTGTCTTAAAGTTAGAATGAGGACACAGCAATGTGTCCGTCGTGGGAAAAGAACTTGGTGGTCAGATTCAATGTAGTTTTAAAAAGGATCAATGTCTTTTGACTTTGGCTGGTAATTAAGCATACTTTGATATAAGTAATCCGAACCTTGATATTTCCCAGTGAAGGAGTATTAATACTATAAATATCTCATATCTTGGAAACTTCATTTGAAACAAAACCGTATCTTCAAAATCGCATGGCATGGTGCACTCTGGAAAATACCATACAATTATTCAACTACTCAAACTTAAACCATTTTTTGAAAGCTGTTTCTTAAGGAAACCTTTGAATTAATTCCATTTTTTATTTCTGTTGGCTGTGTTTCATACAAAAAGTACAACGCATTGATTTAGCATACTTCTCAATCACCTTTGTTGAAAATGCGTCAAATTACTTTCGAGTGTAACTGATGTCGTTTAGTTGAGAGTACTTGTTACATATACGCGAGTAGTGCTTTCGTATTTCCATTTTTCTATTTAAGAAACAAGTACCAACAATTCTAACAGCAGCATGCAAACAAGCTCGCCATCGCCATCGTCCATCGCCATCTCCATCGCCATCGCCATCGCCATCGCCATCGCCATCTGAGGGGTCGACAACACCGAAAAGTACCACTTCTACTACTGAATCATCGCAAACAGACCTCACCCTGGGACTTGCTATAGGACTACCAGTATTCATTGTTCTTGCACTTATTGTTATTGCATGCATTCTCCAAAGGAAAAGGCTGAAAAAAATTGGAAAGTACATCGTATCAGGAAGCCATGGTTCTCATAATACAAACAAAGGATGTCAAGAAATGAGTTTGTCAAAAACCGACCCAGAACAACAAAAAGTTGACTGATTGAGGCCCTGAGCTGCCAACAGTAATGTACTTTCCAGTTGTCTTCACACTGGTGCCTTCCACGATAACTGAAATAATTTTCATAAGCATATTTCTTCGACTTAGTCACTGGTTACATATATGTAACACAAATATTATTTTTTTTAATCTTCTTGACGAACAGGTCCAATGTATTGCCTAGGCAAACTCTACCGATTCCCGAGGATATAAGGTTATAATGGTAGGATGTAGGAATAAGCCAATAATCACATTCAACGATACATGTGACACTTATCTAAAGGAACCTCGCACTAAAACAGAAATTTCCATGAATAAGTAGGATCTTAAAAGTAGCTAAAGAATGGTAACGCGTTTTTTTCAATCATTTTTTGCTAGGTGCAACAGAAGAATAAATGGACCGGGCCTAAAGTAGGACAATAATGCCCGAATCATGTTTAGAAATCCTTTTAGAAATTTTGATCAAATATGGACTTCAGGGAATTTCTCAACTTCGTGGCGCAATGCCATTGTAGTCCCTATTCCAAAACCTGGCCGAGATCATACTGAACCGTCTAATTACAGACCAATCTCTTTAACGAGTTGTGTCTGTAAAACTATGGAACGAATGGTAAACAATAGATTAACATGGTATCTTGAAACCAATAATCTCATAACAAATATTCAATGTGGTTTCAGGAGAAGTCGTAGTACCATTGATCATTTGGTACAACTAGAATCCTTTGTAAAAAATGCAATAGTAAATAAACAACATGCCGTATCGATATTCTTTGATCTAGAGAAAACATACGATACCACCTGGAAGCATGGCATTTTGAAGGATTTACATGATTTTGGTTTGAGGGGTCGTTTACCTCTTTTTATTTCACATTTTTTAACCGACAGGCAATTTCAAATCCGAGTAAGTTCTACCCTGTCTGATCATTATAATCAGGATCAGGGTGTCCTACAAGGCAGTATTTTGTCTGTGACATTGTTTAGTATTAATATCAACAGTTTATCTAAGGTTTTAAATGATTTAATCAATGGATCACTTTTTGTGGATGATTTTAATATTTCTTGTCGCGGTAAGAATATGCATACTATTGAACGGCAATTGCAGTTGTGTTTAAATAACATTAATAAATGGTGTCTTGAAAACGGCTTTAAATTTTCGAAATCAAAAACTAATTGCATACATTTCTGCCGTAAATATAAACAACATAAAGACCCAGACCTGTTTTGTAACAGCACTCCCATCAAAGTTGTCAAGGAGGCCAAGTTCTTAGGTCTGATTTTCGACTCCCATTAACTTTTCTTCTCCATATTAAATCCCTGAAACCTAAATGCCTGAAGGCACTTGATTTATTGAAAGTCGTTTCTAATTCAAAGTGGGGAGGGGATCAAGCTACCCTCCTACACCTATATCGATCATTGGTCCGCTCGAAACTTGATTATGGCTCCATCGTATATGGTGAAGCCTGCAAAAGCAACCTAAAACTACTTGATTCTGTCCACCACCAAGGTCTGAGAGTTTGTCTTGGGTCCTTCAGAATCTTTTCTGTTGACAGTCTCTACGTCGAGGCTGATGAGCCATCTCTTACACAACGCCGTATAAAATTATCCTTGCAGTATGTTGCAAACCTATATTCTAACGACTCTAATCCTGCATTTCACTGTATCTTTAATCCTCTTTATGAGGATTTGTACAACAAGAAATCTTCTCTTGTTCCGCCTCTTGGGCTCAGGATTAAGCCATTCATTACCGCTGCCGGCATTGAGCTGGAAAATATCACTCCTTCCCGTCTTCTTTCTTCTCCTCCTTGACACTTGGTTAGGTCACAAGTCGACCTTACACTCACTAAATGTAAAAAATCAGAAACTAATGACTTACGATATAAACAAAAATATAATCAACTCAAAAGTAAATATAATCCATATAAATCCTTATTTACTGATGGATCCAAGGATGGTGGCGCGGTAGCTTGTGCAGAACAATATCTTTTTGTCATGTTAACGTATGGCTAAATATCAGTATAAACGCCAGCAGCTGACGGGATGGTGTAAATCCAACTAGGGTCCATGCAGCCAGCAAAGGTAATGTAAGTCCCAATGGTCCCTAGTATGGTGATCTACCTTCAGTTGTTGGCGATCTATAGCCCGTGTTTTATATTGTAATGTCTTCTTTAATTAAAATCTTTTAGTTTGACATGCTAGTTTTAAATTCTAATCTGTGATAATCTAGTTATTTTACTGTCCTTCGTTGACAGGTTTTTAACAAAATTTACCATTACTTACTATGTATACAATTAATTGTTCGCGTCACGATATTATAATATACATATATATATTCCATTTCATTGTCAAATATGTTCTCGTCGCGATATGGCTGAAATATTGCCGATGTGACGTTAAATATTAACTCACTCACTCCCTCGAAACGAGTTTAGGCTAATCCTGAGCTATTGAGAACTTTTTGTGAACAAACTGTTTGGTTTAGTTTTTTCAACCACTCTTGTTTGGTTCAAATGCAAAAACCGTTCACAGCATTACGATAAAAAATCATCATGTTACAAAATGCTCCGTCTCTGAAAATATATTATTTGTCGTAACATGCATTTGCACTACTGAATTTTCTTAGAGCTAATGCCATAAGAATCTGCGTGATGTCATTACAATCGTTTAAATACATCAAACTGTTGTGTCCATGACGGCTACGGTTTCCATTAGCCCCGCTCTCCATGACAACCATCAACATTCCGAATCAATAGCTTCCCATCTAAAGTCGGAACCAACCATGATCAAGTCACTTTTAGTCGTCTTGAATATCATGACTTGATAAACCAGTGAACAAGACAACTAAAACCTCAAATGGCTGTTCCCATGAATGATTTCCTCTCCTAATGTTTTCAAGAAGCTTTGTAAAACCTTGCTTAAAACCATTGCCCTTTACACGGTTGATCCCACCAAACGTTCTTTCTGTGAACACCATAAAATATATATCATGTAAATCTTTTCTCATTTCGTGCTAATAAACCGTTTACTTTGATCAGTAGTTTATATTCCATTTGTTGAATAAACTGAAACATGATGTGACCTTAATGTTATGGTCACACTGCCTGCATATTTGACTGTGAAGCTGGATTTTGCAAACTGATGAAGATGAACTACTGTGTGCATGTTCCATGTTGTAGGCATGTGTTGGTGACTTATTTGAATCCAGTGTTAGCTTACAAGGCGCTTCCTTATTGCATATATCGATGCTCCTGCTATTGATCACTGTATTGTCTGGTCCAGACTCGATTATTTACAGACTGCTGCAATATCGCTGGAATATTGCTGAGTGCGGCGTAAAACTAAACCCAATCACTTACAAGGTATTATTACTTCAAATAGCTGTCATAAACCATCGTGATAGACAAGCGTCAAGACAATACAAGAAGACAAGGTCATCCAGATCCCGGACCAGCTGTCCGATGTTGATGTCGAAACTCCATCAGACGTGTGCAAAGATATGAGACAGTACGAGGGGGTATCAAAAATATCTAATTGTCACCAAGACGTATTCAGGGTAGAAACTTTATTTCGATTTCTTGTCCTTAAGACGTCTCTACATAGTCACCTTCCAGAGTTACACATTCTGCCAACGTTTCTTGAACTTGCGCAGACCGCTTGAATAGAAGTCCCCTGATTTTGATTTCCTGGAAAACCAGCCCTCCACCTCTTTCATTGACCTCGTTGGAGTCCACATCTTGGCTCATCTGTGAGGGACATATGGCCACCTCACCACAGCATCATAGGATGACTATCTTCATCATACACAGATTTCATCTACTCGTGAATCTGCCGGGCAGTGCAACCCTTCAAATGCCAAAACTTGATAATTCTGTGTGCCTCAATTTTCTCCATACATGGGGTTACTCATGATTTGGACTAAACACAAGATTGATAAGGTGATGTAAATAGTTTTGGTCCATTAACTAGATAAGGATCACTGATGTTACCTTCAAATATATTTATAATAATTTCTCAATAAATGCATGGCAAAAATTACAACTTTTTATATCCCCTGGTATATGTATATTTTACTCAACTTCTAGTTCAGGCAAATGTCAATATTTTCTTTTGATTCAGTGGGACTTCTTCATTTCATCAAAAATATATGGAAATAAAAGATACTGCCTTATAAATCATTGTGACAATATTCATTCTCAAGTGGACACTCTTGATCTCCAAAATGAACTATATGCGTTCTCTGAAAATACTGCATTTTGGACTACTTGTCCAAATTGTAGAGCTAAAAACGGACGACCGGCCAAAATACACAATACGCCCATTTGGCCCAAAAATGTGTGCAGATTTGTGTCGCCGTACCGCTGGATGCACGCTCTACACATTGTCTTCTGACCTGACCTGCGAACTTGGAACCAACAACAGCGTGGTGACTGAGGGGAAGCAGATGTTCCATCTCAAGGTGAGTTTAAATGGAATGGGTTTCGGATGAATTGCCTTGGCATGCGTTTCTGATGGTTGCAAACAACGGGGTAGGGTGTTTTTCCTTTTCGCATGATTCATGAACACTTGATTATGATCTAATTGGAATCATACAATCGACTTTTCGTCATCAAAGTAGATTCTAGTAAACAAAATTACAAAATTATTCCACAAGACGCCACAATTTTATTCTGGACTCACAAAAGTCCAGAAACTCTCCGCGCTGTGGGCACTTTCTGACAAGGGATTTGACCAAATTAAGCATGCAGTTGTTATGAATGTATGCCAAGGATGAAAAAATGATTTTGTTTTTCGAAAAATTCACATTTAAACTCGCCCGAACAGTGGCCCATGGGCGAGAATGTTTAATTTCGATCAGAATTCATGTTTTGGAGGTTGTAAATGAATGAGTGTATGTTTATAAACATCATGACACATATTTCAACTCATTTTGACTTAATTCGACTAACTTAGGGCGATATTAAAAAAATCGCGCTCATGGGCGAAAAATATGTTGGCCCATGGGCGAGAATGTTTAATTTCGCTCAAAATTCATGTTTTGGAGGTTGTAAATGAATGAGTGTATACTTATGGGTATCATGAAACAAAATTCAACTTATTTTGATCTAATTCGGCTAATTTAGAGCGATATTAAAAAATCTCGCCCATGGGAGAAAAATATGTTGGCCCATGGGCGAGAATATTTACTTTTACTCAAAATACATGTTTTTCCATGTTTTGGAGGTGACAAATGAATGAGTGTATGTTTATAAACATCATGACACAAATTTCAACTCATTTTGATTTAATTCGACTAATTTAGAGCGATATTAAAAAATCTCGCTCATGGGCGAAAAATATGTTGGCC